AAGGAGGGAGTGTTTGTTTACATATTAAAAAATGTTTTTCTACTATAATATAAAAAAATGTAAAGAATGTTTGGTGAAAGGAATAGATTATTATTGAAACATTTAATTTTGTAAATAAAAGAATTGAGCATAAAAGTTATTATTTATTGGAGTAAAATAAGTACATTCTAAAACTCCACTGACATTACAAATAGAATACCAACAGTAATAAAATTGATAACAAAAAAATTTCTAAGCTATTGGGAACAAAAAATTTCTAAGGTAAACGAACAAAAACAAAAAATTTAAAAGTATTTATTCCGAATCAGATAATTTGTTATCAGATTCATCTTGACTCCTAGATGTATACATTTAGTACATTAATCACAAAAATTTTGGTTAAAAAAAATCCTTTATAAAAGGTATAAAAATATAAAACCCTATGGGCTACATCACATAACATTTTCAGAATTAATATTCCATCATTAGTGTATCAGGGTGATATTTAGTGGCTTTAAACATGTAAAACTTGATACACTGATAACAGAATATTAATTCTAAAAAAAGTTCTGTGATGTAGCCCATAGGGTTTTATATTTTTATACCTTTTATAAGGATTTTTTTTATTTTAACTTTCTTCTGAGAATATCTGAACTCAAATGAAATACAAATAAAATACCAACAGTAATAAAATTGATAAGTTAAACACCAAAAACAAAAATACAAATAATGAAATAAAAGTATTTATTCCGAATCAGATAATTCGTTATCAGATTCATTTTCACTCCTAGATGTATACATGGATAGATTAAATCTTGTTCAATGTGCATTACTGATCAGATATGTAGTATAACATTTTGATTTATCTAGTAATTCTGACTTTATTCTGAGAATATCTGAACTTAAATGAAATACAAATAAAATACCAACAGTAATAAAATTTGATATCTGAACAAAAAATTACTAAGTTAAACACCAAAAACAAAAATACAAATAATGAAATAAATGTATTTATTCCGAATCAGATAATTCGTTATCAGATTCATTTTCACTCCTAGATGTATACATGGATAGATTAAATCTTGTTCAATGTGCATTACTGATCAGATATGTAGTATAACATTTTGATTTATCTAGTAATTCTGACTTTATTCTGAGAATATCTGAACTTAAATAAAATACCAACAGTAATAAAATTGATATCTGAACAAAAAATTACTAAGTTAAACACAAAAACAAAAATACAAATAATGAAATAAAAGTATTTATTCTGAATCAGATAATTCGTTATCAGATTCATTTTCACTCCTAGATGTATACAAGTACGACCAGGATAGCAATAGACGTGAACTGCACGTTAACCGTTGTAGGGCTGCAGAATTCATTTGTGGGTGTAAAGCAAAATAAACCCAAGCTGGTTATGTTGTGACGTAGGACATAATTCGGTATTTTGCTTTACACCCACAAATGAATTCTGCAGCCCTACAACGGTTAACGCGCAGTTCACGTCTATTGCTATCCTGGTCGTACTGTACATGGATCGATTAAATCTTGTTCAATGTGCATTACTGATCAGATATGTAGTATAACATTTTGATTTATCTAGTAATTCTGACTTTATTCTGAGAATATCTCAACTTAAATGAAATACAAATAAAATACCAACAGTAATAATAATAATATCTAAACAAAAAATTACTAAGCTAACCACCAAAATCAAAATTACAAACAATAAAGTAAAAAAAGACTCCAAATAGAAATCCGAACATTTCATAGTTGTCGAAACCGAATTTCAGATTTTTGCTCAAATCCAATCCTTCTATAAATTGCAAGGTAAAACAGATGATGAAGAACTGACATAGAGAATCTAAAAATTGCATTCTTCAACAAGGCGTTTCATCTAAGCAAGAACCCTTGGTGAAGTGGTTTCTAGTACTCAAAACAGAGTAAATAAATATAAACAAAAGACAGTTCTTAATCAAAATGAATGAAAATGAATTATCTGAGAATAAATACTTTTATTTTATTAACACAAAAGACAGTTAAGATTTGATTTCATGTATAGTGCTCCTGTATATACGTATTTTATCCTAGTGGGAATCATCAGAGCAACCACTGGAGAAGCTCAGAAGCATTAGAGCTTCTGCACTGGTTGCTCTGATGATTCCCGCTGGGATGAAATAAATATAAGCAAATATGCAGGGGCACTATACATGAAATCAAATCTTAACTGTCTTTTATGTTAATATAAGTATTTATTCAGAATCAGATAATTCATTATCAGAATCATTTTCATTCCTAGAAGTATACATAGATTGATTAAATCTTGTTAAATGTGCATCACTAATAGGATAAGTAGTGCAACATTTTTGTTTATTTACTAAATCTAACTTGATTCTAAGAATATCACTCAATAAGGTAGTCGATAGACGATTTCTTTTGTTAGATTTGATATCAGTCATCATGGAAAATACTCTCTCTACATCTGCATTTCCATGTGTTAAAACAAGGATGATTAGAGCCAAAGTACTTATATTTTTGAAAATAATTTCATCATTAAAATTTTTAAAATTCTTCACTTTTGTCCAAAAGTTTATTTCATTTTTATCAATTAATAAATTAGATTTTTCTTCATCTGAAAAATAGATCTTAAGGTTATTATATTCATTAATGGCTAATTCAGGATCTATTTTGGTTTTAAATTTGATGGCTATTTCGTTAATATCATATTTTATTTGTGAAGAGAGAGCATTTTCCGGAACTATAAATGATAAATTTTTATAAAATCTATCATTTACAGGAAGTCGTCTAATAGCTTGAGTGATAAAATTTCAAGCATCTGAGCTTAAACTGTTCATTATCATTTTTTGAGCAATGTTCTAGGAGATCCATAGTACCTGGTCCAACATTGATGTCACTGATAGGAAGCAGTACATGTGGATTGTTTACATTTAAAGTATCAAGTTTGGCATCCTCATTGTAAAAAGAAGGTTGAATAAAATTAAGGCATAAAAGTTTTATAAATCTTCTACTTTCAGGATATAACTTATGAACAAGAATTTTGGATGATTGGAACATGGCATTAAATGAGTTAAATATGGGAAGTACATATTTTAAAAAAAGAAGATAAGCTTTAATATAAGGATTTTGCATATCCGTTAAAATTATGTTTGCCACTGGATTTTTATCTTCAAATGTGCTAACCCGAAAAACTTCAATGAGAACATCCCATTGACTCAATAACCTATCGACACAATTTGAGAGAGCTAACCACCTAGTTTGGCTAGGACCAAGTATTTTTAATTGAGATACTCTCATGAACTTTTGGAACTCTTCCAAGATGGATTGTCTTTTTGGGCTACGAGAAAAATAGCTATATATATTTTGAAACAGTGGTTCGATATTGCTGGGCAATTCTTGAACTGCAGTAGTAGCAATTAAATGTGCAGAATGACAGATGCAACCATTTATTGCTATGTGCGAATTTTCATTTAAGAGATAGCTCTTAAATGATTCTTTATTGCCCATCATCACACTTGCATTGTCTGAGCAATATCCAACCACATTCTCAATACTTAAATTAAAATGATCCAAAGTTTTTTTAAACAATCCAAATAAACCTTTGGCTGTTCCTTCATCAGCTCCTATAGGAATTAAATTTAATAGAGCAGTCTTTAGCTGATTATTATAAACATATCTGATCAGTATACATAGAAGTCGAGTATTACTAATATCTGTGCTTTCATCTACAAGTATAGAAAAATTATTGTCTTTTAATTCTAGACACAATTCTTCTTTAATTGTAGATGAAAGTACATTTTTAACAATGTTTGTGCATTTTGTACGTTTTAACTTTAAATTTTTCGCTATGTCAGAATCAGTGAAATTTAGTTTTGATATTTCTGTAATATGATCAATAGACCTAAAACTAAAGTTGTGTGACACAACAAGTAGAGCAAATCTTATATCTACTGTATTTTCTTTTTTGTTGTCTGTACGTGGCTTAAACATATCTGTTAAGGACCTAGTACCTTGTAAAGTTGTCACATTTTTTTGATGTCTTTGACTCTGTTGATGCTTTAACAAATCACTTTTTTTAGTCCCTAATAACAAATTACAGCATTTACATTTTGCTTTAGCTGCATCTTCAGTCGACAGAAGCCATCCTTTAAATTTCTCGTCTTCCAACCATTGTTTAGAAAATAATTGTTTTCTACTTTTTTTTTCATCCCTAGGAAGCTCTTGTCTAGAAGCTCTTTTTTTAATAGGAGTATATGTTGAAGGGCCACTCTCGTCGGAATCAGACATTGTTATTTCACTATAATTAATGTAATATTAGTATATAGATTTCTATAATATGTAGTATCATTGTCCACTTACCTCTTATAAAGGAGAAAAAAATCAACAATAAAAACAACTCAACACAAAATTCAACAATTAAGCATATGATGCAAATGGCAGCAAATCGCAAATGCACAAGCAAGTAGGGCTAGAATAGAAAAGTAAACAAAAACAGGAAACTGAAGCAAGCAGGGCTAGAAAAGTAAACAAAAACAGGAAACTGAAACAGTGACAATTCAGTGTGACCAACTGAACTGAAATGACAATAGAAATTTTCTATTTTCAGAATAGGCACCTTTTTGTCAATTGTGGAATTTTATTAGATTTAAGAGTAAGAAGTAGACAGATTGATATTTTTAGGTTTGGCTTTTAAAATTTTAAAATTCCGCTACGCTTTGGTTAATTTTATTCTGTCGCCGCTACGTCACTAGCAGACGTAAATTCCGCTACGCGTAGCGGAATTCCGCTACGGTTGGTCACACTGTCCCTGTCATCTGTGTTGCCTAACTCCGGCGCCTATATCTTAATCTAAGCTAACAACACACAAGTTAATCTTAAGATCTACTTTTTCCGAACCTTGAAATAGTTGCGTCACTATGGTATGTAGTTCTTCGTAATTTGTAGCGAATATTACAATGTCATCAGCCTATCTTAAGGACTCAATTTTCTTCCACGAACATTTATTTCTTTACCTGCCCACTTAATGTCTTTGAACACGTCTTCCAGTCCAAGTGTGAATAGCTTTGGTGAGATAACATCACCCTGGCAAACTCCTCTGTTGATTGGTATGGCTTTGGTTTTCGCATCTATTTGTATTTTTATTGTCGCTTTCTTGTAAATAGTATGTATAAGCATTCAGTATCGAGAGTTCATCCTGCAGTTGTTCATAGCTCCCTCTATTGCCCAAAGTTCTATGGAGTCAAATGACTTTTCATAATCAACGAAGCCCATGGTATAAGTTCAAGTGATATTCATTGACTTTCTTTATAATTGTGACTGTAAGAAGATAATCCGCTGTACTGTAACCCTTTCGGAATCCTGACTGCTCTTCCGGTTGGTAGCTATCGAGCTTTGACGTAAACCTGTTAGTTATTACTCTCATAAACAGTTTGTACATTTGGGACAGCAGGGAGATTGGACTATAGTTCTTCAGATCTCCCCTGTCTCCCTTTTTGAAGAGAAGTATTGTCACACTTTCATTACAATCATCTGGGACTTCTCCTCTGTGAAGACATTCGTTGAAAAAAAATTTCAATTCTTCGAGAATAATTTCACTCACCTCCTTCAATATTTCTACAAGTATTTCATCTGGGCCCGGAGTCTTACTGTTCTTTAGTTGTGCCATAGCTTGTCTTATTTCGAAGGATTCTATGTTACATAGAACATAGGGAACTCACCACTGAGTTCTAAAAAGGGGCGAGTATCACCTTATGGAGTTCGGACTGTCGCAGTTTTGACATTTATTGTACATCATCTTTACTTTTTACTATTTGTTGTATTTTATTGTAAATGTTTATAGCGTCGAAATAAATAAATAAATAAATAAATATACCCATATTGATTAGCTATATTGCCTTTGTTTTTTTATGAAACCGGTAGCTTTGGACCTCATTAATGGTTTTCCGTCTCTTTTAAGTAAAAATGTTGTAAACAATGTTTAATTTAATCAAAATTTTCCCTTAAGGATTTCACAGCATCGGAATGAGCAGATCACCTAGTGCCACAAATAGGTTTAATACTCAAGTGTTAAAGTGTCTGCGCAAAATTATTCTAATGCAATTAACATATGTGCAGAAAAAAATCGTACACTTCCTGTATAATATTGAAAAAGTCGTCATTTCCATGCAAATTTCGGCAGCAGCGTTTCCAATTAAATTTAATGGATGATTTGCGCATGGTATAAATGGGCAAATTTGTTGTTTTATTCTGGATTGGAGTTTCTTATATTTACCTGACATACTAAACGTATTATCATAACTCTCCAACATTTAGTGATGTCTAAATCTAAATTATTTAAAAGTTCTAAAATAACTTTTTCCAAGTTTTCACTGGTATAAAAAAATATAGGAAGAAATCCCAAAAATCTTTCTTTCCTATATAGAGTAAAATTTGGCTCCCTTTAGTTCGTTCACTATTGTGAGTTGAAAATCTTTCGATATAATAGAAATAAATTATTCATCACATATTGTAAACGACTCCGTGGGAAGTTGATCTGTTTCTCATCGGACGCATCTCCAGGTGGTGGATAGGGGAACGCCCTAACCGGTCATAGTACCAGTGGGTAGTTGGTACCAAAACCAAAACGGACTAAAGTATGGCAACCCTAACAAAAGAGTCTCTGGCCCTCCAGGTTGGGGGTTGGACTAGAGGCTGACAATCTCTTCCCGTAAAAAAGCATCTGTTACGAAACATCAGGAACTATTAGCTGGATGGAACTCACTACGACGATTCTGAAAACGAAAAATGGAATGAAGATTAGGAACATGGAATACCCGAGCCCTGTACTGAACTGGAGCACTCACATCTTTACTAGACATAGTGAACACTTACAAAGTAGATGTTTTAGTACTGCAGGAAATGCGGTGGACGGGAACTGACACTATTGACAAGAGAATCCATTCCATATATTCCAACTGCAATGAAAACCAACAAATAGATGGGGTGGGATATGAATGCAAGAATAGGACGAGAGTGAGTTTTCACGCCCATGATAGGAAAGCATAGCCTACATAACATCAGTAGCAATAATTGATTACGACTAATAAACTTAGCAGCAGCACTCAATATGACAATCGCTAGCACCTATTTTGAACACAAGAAAATACACAAGGTAACCTGGACCTCTCCTGATGGAAGAACAACGAGTCAGATTAATCACATCTTAATAGATTCAAGGAATGAAACAGACGTAATAAACTGCAGAAGTTATAGAGGCGCAAACATAGACTCAGATCATTGCCTAGTGATCTCAACATTGAGTGCTAGAATTTCAAACACCAGTAAAGAAAATAAAATGGATACAGAAAAATGGAATGTGCAAAAGCTGAGAGATGCGACAATTGCAGAACGGTACTCGGAAAACATCACAGAAGAATGCCAGACAGACCTAGACTCCTACTGGATCAGAATAAAGGAAGACCAGAATTCAATGCAACCACAAGACAATGCAGAAGTCAGAATGACGACCTGTCGGACCTGTTAACAACAAGGAAAGATGTATTGAATAGATGGGTGGAATACTTTAACCAGGCACTTAATATAGAGGAAGAAGAACACCTGAAAGACGAAAGAGATGACGTAAGGGGACAGACGAGAGGAACCACCTACAATTCGCTTGAAGTTAAAGATGCAGTTAAAAACTAGCCAGAAATAAATCACCCGGAATAGTCTCCTAGCTGTACTATATAAAGAAGATGGCCATGATACCATAATGGCATTGCAGAAGCTTATAAAAGAAATATGGACCCAGAAATCCCTCCACAATGATTGGAATACTTTGCACCATACACAAAAAAAGGGATATATTTGAATGCACTAACCACAGAGGAATTAAGCTTCTAAAGGCAACATATAAAATATTTTCCACAGTACTATGTCATCATATGGCACCATATGCAGAACGGATAGTAGGAAAATACAAGGCTCGTTTCAGAGGTGGTAAATCGACAATTAATCAAAAAACACTGGAATATAGAGACCTGGACTCGAACAAACAATAATGTAAACATGTTTCGAAAGAAAAGTACTAAGGCGAATTTATCGAGCTGTGAATGACAATGGAGTATGGAAAAGACGATACAATTTCGAAGGAACAAAACGATACAGCTAGAAAAATGCTGCTTAATTAGACCCATTCGTCAGAGAAGAAAAGAAAGACCTAGAACGACGCTCCTTGATAACATTGATGAAGACATGAGAAATATGGGAATGCATGCTTCGCGAAGAATTCTTGAGGAGGCTAGGATCCAGGTAGGGTTGTAAAGCCAGTTTGTTGTATTAACGACAAATAGTTTATAGTACCTACCGCTGCCGCAGTTTGCATATTTTTTCATCTGTTCCCACATGAAAGAAATAAATTTAATTGTCGCTACCACACATTTAAGTGCCTTCCTTCAATTTTTTTTTCATTTAATATTTATTTTTCCAATTCAGTGTCAATGCGTGCGGTAATTGTAGATCTCGTTATATGAATTAAATTGGAGTTAATGTGGTCACTGGAGTTTTCATGCTCTGCAATTTTTTATGTACATTTTTACAATAATTCATCCCTTTTGTCACTTGAATTGTTTGTTTTTTTTTATTAAAAACCTCTTTTTCGTGCCTAGGCCTTAGGCGAACTTTGAAAAATTATATATGGGATGTTGTAAATCCTAAATACTTTTACCAAACGTCATTTTGAAGAGGAAGGATAAAAGTTTTTTCTGTAAAGCAATGTACTTATACCCCTGTGGAAAAAATTATGGGGCAAAAAAGAAAAAGCACGTATGTTCCTTTTTTTGGTTTGTTTTTTTATATTTAAAATTATTTTTGACTTTATTATAAGGTGACAATTCGATAAAAAATTTCATTTTGAACAACTTTTCTGTAGATGTAAATGTACGAAAACTGCATAGCATTCACCCAAATGCACCCTAGAACATAGGGACCAATTCACCCCTATCTCAAGAACGCACCTAAACTGTAGCACTGCGAGGTTTTTCATATTTGGGAGTTCACTAACCATACAAAACAATAAAACCCTTTTAACATTGTAGTTCCTTTTGCCCTATTTTTTGTAACATAACAGCCTATCAGACTGCAATGTGGAAGGGCTTACCAGGCCAAATGATCCCTTTGAAAGTTACAATCTACAATCATGAAATTAAAAATACATTGTATTGGTATTATTTATTATACAAAAAGCTTATATATAATTATTTTAAAACTATATTATCGTCTTCTTCTATCGTCATCTCTCTTATAATCGTCTCGCCTCCTATCTCTATCCCTTCTATCTTTATCTTTGTCTTTATCTCTCCTGTCCTTGTCTCTATCTCTTCCATGATCTCTGTCTTTATCTTTCTTATATTTATCTCTTTCTCTACTATGATGCCGTTCTCGTGACCTACTTCTATTTCTTTTCTTAGTTTTTTTCTTTTCTACCTTTGGAGTTTGATCTAAGGTGTACTTTAGTATTTCTTCTTCATCCTCCATTTCGATGTCATCATCTAAATCATCTTCCAAAGCAGATATTTTTGCTTCTAATTCATTGCTTTCTTCTAGAAGGGCTCGTTTTTGTATCCTTGGTACAATTACGTCACAAACCTACAATAAAAATATTAGTAAACATAAATATATTATATACAAATAAATATCTCTTGTGATATTATGTGCTTTATAGAGAAAATTGGAACAATATATATGTTAACATTTTCAAAAAATTTAACAAGTCACCAAAAGAAGTTTTCATTCCTTCCATTCTTTCCACATATCCCATCCAAAGCAGTGGTAATATTTTAATTAATGTTTGATATCTGGATTCTGGCACATTTTATATGTCAAAGTGATATCTTCTTCACAAAATTCTATTTTCTTTTGTGTCTTTATAAACATGTAACAAGATTTTTCTTTCAAAGTTAACTAATAATCTTTCCTCACTTTTAGGGAGTGTCACTTAGTTAGTTAGATCTAATAAGATCTTAGTTACCTAATTAAGCCATGGTAACATTTATTGGCAATGAATATTCACCTCTTCACTTCCCCTGCAATGTCATTATTATATGTAATTAGGGATCCTAAGTATGTACCTGTATTCTTCTTTTGTGACCAAACGTGAAAGATGGAGGATTGGCACACAATGACCTACTAATTTCATCTACAACTTTATTAATTACCAATTCTTACCAATATGTTTATTATGATAGCTTTTGAGTTGGTCAGCATTAAAAGATATTTTGTTGAGTTCAACAAAATTTTTTGGTTTTAAATCTTGGTTTATCAATCTTTAATATTAATGGCTTAAACTGTAAAGTGGATAACTCAACTTTTTATTAAAATTTAGATTATTGTGCAATCTGTTAAAAATAAATAAAATCTGTTGATTGATGATTTTAAAATACCTAACATATATACAGTTTCCTTTAATTCGCGCCACCTCTTAAACAGCTATCTGTTTGAAGTTCAATTTGAACAATGTGAGCCGTCTAACTCCTTTAATTGTTGTAACTTAATACATTTTGTGATGGTGTTAAGAGACTTCGCATTGAGCTTCAGTATTTCATTAAAAAATAGAAACTAATTACTTCAATTATTAATAAAATGATTTAGTGATATAAAGATAAGTGTATGTATTTATTTAAACATAATTATTCTGAATAATTTGAGATTTATTAACTTTAAAAACTCTTACTTGGAGTTAACTGGTTTACATTGTTAATTTACATGTCGAATTTGGAGTTTTCCATAAATAATTTTGTTAAATGAAACAAAAATATTTTGAGTTATAATATTGTTAAATTATAAGTCAGTTTTATGTACCTAACTAATAACAATTATTACTTTATAAAGTAATTTTGTGTAATTATGACTGAGCAAAATTTCTTTTATTTATAGCTCTTCAGTTTACGATGTCATCTCATTCTGAAAAACTTGTTCCTTGGCAAAAGAACAAGATATAAAAAATGACGATTGAACGTTAACATGTCAAGAAAAAACATAAAGATTTAATCAACCAGCTAGAAAATGATACTAATTTTATAAATAAGTTACCTTTACTACTCATAGATCGGCAAAATATATCTCCTCAAACTGACCAAATTAATTTTCTTTTTATTGAACCCCAATTAAATAATAATATAGTTGGAGTTAAACAAGTAGACAACTACAATATAAAGAATAATCCAAACGACTTCCCTAATCAGATTCCTTTCATCAATAATAATTTTCAGAAACCATCTTCCTCTGATGCATAATCTTCACTTCAAAATTTTGAATTCTCTACTTTAATGACTTACAATAATGAAAGTATTATAAAAAATGAAATATAAACATATAATACTACTTCCACATGTAGCTCAGAAAATGATTTTACAGGGCAAAGATTGTAAAATCAGATGTTCTTTGAATACAGAAGATGACAGACAAAATATCTTTTGGCAAAAAATTAATTGGGGAGAGAAAAGAATTTACGTAAACGCGTTAGAACAAATACTACCAAGTCAATGTCACAGAGAAAGAAAAAATGAATCTGTAACAAGAAGAAATTGTTCTGTTATATATAATTTAAGAAAATGTGAAAGGGTAATAAGAGTATGCAAAACAATGTTCTTAAACACATTGTGTATAAGGAAATGGTGTGTTTTAAACTGGAAGGAGACAACACCAACACAAAGTGTTCATAAAAGAGAAAATGAAGAGGAAGTAAATAGTATTGAATTGAATCTAAAAAAAAACCACGAAATCTAATTCTTTTGAATTGGAACATAAATCAATGAATGAATTTTTCGATAACTTACCTACTATGAAATCACATTATTGTAGGGCATAACAGACAAAAAGTACATCATATCTGATTGGCCAACTAAAAAGCCCTTTGCGATTTTTATGTAAACAATTGGTACAAGGAATGTAATGTAAAAGCCCTATCTGTATGTTCATTTAATACTGAGATGGATTTAAAAAATTTGTCCTTATATCATCCAAAAAAGGATCAATGTCAGATCTGTTTTTCACATACTTAAATTAGGACAATATTCAGAAGATTCATATATTTTACATTTTACAGAAAAAGAGAAGGATAAAGAAACAGAAAAATATGTATTTACAATGGACTTACAAGCAGTGATATTAGCACCACATTCTAATGTTTTCAGTTTATCTCATAGGACCAAACTCTGTGTTCACAATTTTTGTTTATTTAACTTAAAAACTCTACAGGGAACATGTTATTTGTGGATTGAATCAGAAGAAGGTCTCAATGCCGAAGAATTCGTCACAATTGTGGTTTCTATTGGGCGAAGTAATACCAGCATTAAAAGAAGAGAATAGAAATGAAAGTAAAAAAGTTATGCTCTATAGTGACGGATGCACTTATCAAAATAGAAATGCAACCATGAGCAATGTGTTATTAAATTTAGCTGTAACAAATAATGTAACAATAGAACAAAAGTTCTTGGAAGTTGGCCATACTTAAATGGAAGCTGACAGTATGCATGCATCCATTGAAAAACAGTTAAAGAATAAAATAATTAATGTTCCTGCTGAGTATATTGAAGTATGCCAAACAGCTAGAAAAAATCCTGAGCCTTATAGCTTCCATTATCTAACCCATGACTTTTTCAAAAACTTTAGAGATGTGATTTTTTTTAAGTCAATAAGACCTGGAATGATGAAAGGTGACCCCAAGGTAAGTTTAAATTACGTGTTGTATATTTTTAGTGTGATGAATTTTCTTTTTAGGTTACAGATTATTAACTATAAATTAAGATTCAGGTTGATTGTTTTTTTGAATTGAATTGAACCAAAAATCATGTTTTTTAAGTTGTGTATGTTGATCTTGTCACATGTGTCATTCTGGGGCACTGTTGCCAGTTAAATGAAAATATTATATTATGAAACTAGCTAAAAGTAGAGCTGTGCAACAGACCACCGGTTTTGAGTATACTAAAAACACATTATCGAGCATTATCAATCAGTCAGTCACATTGAATTTGTTTAAACATGCATCCTAAAAAATGATCATATTAATTTTGTAATTTTTCATCTCATCATCTCAATTAAGTACCCATACATTAATTTGTGGTTTATTATAATTTACGAACCTGTTTCAATTCAAAAATAATGATAGATAATTAATCTAGACATAACTTTAAATTATTATAATATATCATTACAGTGAGATATTGGATGTAACTGACAAGTTTTGAAAAGCGTTTTTTCTCACAGGATATTTTATAGTTTATAATATGTAGGATAAAGTATAATGTTAGTTTTTCACATTTATTGTTCTTGTAATAATTAAGCATTTAATCTTGGTAGTTTGTGTGTTACTAAACTCATTGACACAAAATACAGCTTGTGTTCAGTAGGTAATTGAAGTATAAAATTACAGTAGATACATTCCAATGTTCCCTGTGTGCCAATAACTTAGGTTTAAAGATCCTTCAAACATTTTGGATATTAGCTCAACCTTATCTCTGGTCATTAAATTTATTACAGTTTTTTGTTAATGAAAAAAATAATACCTATCTAAAAAATTATTCATTTATGAATGGTATTTTTTATATTCAAATTTAGTGCAATTCCGTTATCTGTGATAGCAACAATGAATTGATTCACAAACCATTGTGCCCAGTCTAAACACAGGTTTACATTGGGAAAAAAAAGTGTACCAGTTTTATATGACGGGAAGTGTACCAGAAACATGATACAGATTAAAAACCAATTTAAAGGCATTAAATGTTCTGAAGCCCAATTATTTACCTCATAGAACACAATTTACAAGAAGTTTTAGAACTAAATATGTCACTTCAACTTTATCTTTAGTCCTAATTGATATTGGATAAATGTGGTTTAGTTTGATTTTTAACTTCTGTAATGTGATATACACAGTTGTAGAGGCGAATTGATTTTAAGACAACGTAGCTAAAGGTGAAATTAAAATAAGAACACAAGAACTTACCCTTTCTTCTCTCAAAAGTTCATCAATAAATTCATCCATATGTACAATTTCAAACTGTGATTGGCGGTTTTGTCTCCTTAACTTTCGGTTGTCATTATATAGAGGTTCCAGATACTTATAACAATCTAAAGAAGAACCAGTTAGACGCATATAAAAAGCTCCCAAAGCTCTTACATATTTAAACTCTTCATTTTTTATAAACTCCACTACAATGTCCTTTTCAGGTTGAATTTGCAACATCTTTAAAATCAGACATAAAAACGGTGTAGGTTTTATGTTTCCACCGAAAACACCTCCAACGTACCGTAATTCCATGGCTTTATCTACCAATAATTCAGCTGTAAGAGCAAAGCATTCCTCCTTCCAATATTTTGAATCGTATATGCGAGAACGAATAATCTTCTCAACTAAATATTGAGGATTAGTTCCATGAATGGACTTTGCATCTTTTACTGTCCTATTAGCCATCTTTCGTTATATTAATAATTTAAATTTTCTAATTTCTACCATTTAGTAAATAATCACTTACTTCATTCTTGATTTTTTGTTCTTCTTTCTCGTTACTCGTGACGTTTCTTCGGCGTCTTAATGTGGCCTATTTTAATAAAGTTACCAACGAAAGAGAAAAAGCATTGAATTTTAAATTAATTTATTTTTATATTGCACTGCATATATCGTCAATTACAATTTTTAACTTGTTTTATTATGGTTGTATATTATATTTGTGGTATAGTTTAAAATAAAATATGTTAAATTACCGATTAAACTGTATTGTTTGTTTTAGAAGAAGATTCTAGTAATTTGACATACGTCATTTCGGTATATTTAGTATTTATGTATACGTCATTACCCTTGGCGCAAAGTACTTGGCGGGAACGTAAGCAATAATAATTTTATGGTTTTAATGGATAAAACATTGTTTTTAAAATTAATTTTTATATTTTATTAATATATTGTAACTTGTACCTGTTGTAATGTCATACGCGGAATAATATTGTTTATTTATTTGATAGTTTTTATTGGTTATGTAGTAGAAGTGCGCGTTTAAAACTAGTTCCACAATCCAAATAATCACTTACAAAAAACTCCCGCGACTATTTGCAAACAAATAATTTTAAAATGATGTATATTTCATTGTGATTCCCGCGCAAGGTAATAAAAAGGATACCTTCTAACAAAAGAAAAAATATACTTCCCGCGATTTGTAGGCGTTGTTGAATACACCCAATAAGATTCTCAGTTAATCTGGACTTAGATTAAATATTGTATTCTATTAATATTAACAATTAAAATGGTGTTATCAGATGAAGGAGAAGATCAATTGCATAAGAAATTACTAGATTTATGTGGCAAGTTAAGTTTGGATCAAAGAACAGTTTTATTAGCATGGGATAATTTTATCAGTATAAACAAAAATTTTACACTGGAGGTAAGTTTCAAAATTGCGATTTTTTTGTTTTATAAATTATTGACAAGCACGTATAATCTGTATTATTTATTAATTTCATTGTCTAAACATCTAAATTTATTTAGATAATTCAACCTGTCTTAACTATTGAAGTTTTTTTTAAATAAATCATTTTTGTATTTAATTTTTTATAATTTGAATGAATCTTCATTTTGTCATTTTTATTTTTTCTCCTATGAATTTAATGTTTACTAAATTATGTATTTTAACAATCATAATTATATTTTTTATTGTTTTCCTTATGAGGGTTGTTCCTTCTAAGTGATTTTGTTTTACATACTTTCTAAATTCTAACATAATATGGTATTTTTTACTATATGATGATCAAGAATGTACTGAACACCTATTCTTTCATTATTCATTAATTAGTATTTATTTTCAAGCCCTTAGTGTAGCAATTTCAATTACATAATTAGGCTAAGTTCAGGTCATATATGATACCAAGATATAATAGCAAGTTGTTTTTTATTCAAGTTAGAACAGTTTTTATAATTTTTAAAATGAATATCTTTATGGAGAAATTCAGTGTGACCTCTTAACCTTTTTTGTTCATCCATTTTGGTTCAGTACAAACAAGTAAATTTAAATTATATATTTATCTAAATTTACTCTAGTATATTGGATATTGCTTGTATGTATATTACATGCTATCCTTGCCTTTTCATTAGCCATTGTATTATTGTTTTTTATATTTCTCTGTCACATAATTTTCCATCCCTTTGTATCACCTGTCTCTTGAATCTCTAGTTCAATAATGTTTTTTATTTCGATATTTTCACAAATAAGTCAAATCTGAATTGATTATAGTGTTGCTTTAATTCAAGTTATAAAAATTAATGTTTTATTGAAGTAAGCACAGTATCTAAAAAATACAAATAAAAAGCTAATGAATAAAATACTCTTCACCTAACATATTGAGATCCTGAATAATAACATGAAATTGTATGTCTCTATATATGAGTAGAAACAAAATAAGGAAAAATTTTAGTAACCTTGATGGAATATCTGGTTGGATTTGTTGTAGTGAGCCAGATCTTCAATTTTTGTAGTCTAAAAAAATTGTGGATCAATAAACATTTTAAAAAGAAGAGTATCATATCTACAGCAAGCATTGATTTTTGTTAAAGCTAAAATGGTTTGCAATTAAATTTGCTCTAAAAAGTTGGTTATGCAATTAGTAAAATTTTTAGCTTGTAAGTAATTTGCATAAAAAAATTGTAAAAATGAAGTTTTAGGAATTTATGGGAAATCATATAAAATCTTCACTGAAACTTTTGTATGACAGCTTTTAAGTTATGTCCAAAACAATGGAATAGAGAAAAATGTGATAAATTTCTCTTTTAGTATAAAAGTATTGCAATCCAACTCTGTAAAATTGACAGTTTTCAACATTTTCTTGCATGGAAATTTCTTTGTTATACAGTGTGACTCATTTAGATTGGAAACACCTCTCTAAAATTTGAAGTTGGTAACCAATTGTAACCAATTTTTTTTAATTTCATGTAATAAAAGGTCTACCTACCTATTTTCCAGGGCATACTACAATAATCTTTCTTTGTTGAAAAACAAGAACTTTTATTTGCTCTTTTTAGAAACTCTTTCAAGCTAGGTGTCACCAGAGAACATCCTGGTTATGCTTGAGAACATTAATGGTTTTTGCCATTAAGTACATCGTTGCTGCATTTACTGTAAGTAAATTGATGTTATTGGAGCCATTATCTGTAGAGCTGGCAATTGTCCTAATGCAAAAGGATGACAAGTTTTAGATTGTTTTTGTGAGTTTATCAATCACTTCAGGCAAACAAATGGTTGTATACCATTCTGTAATGACGGTTTTACGTTTCTTGAGTGAAGTTGTGGAAACATACCACTTTTTCCAAAAACACTCACAAGCATATATCAATGCTGTGAGTGCATATTTATTTTGCTGGCTTTGAATCATCTTGAAACACCCATGCTGTTGACTAGTTTCTTTTTTCAGGCACATAGTAATTATGTCAATGTAATGTGTCAATTGGCATCACGTTAGCCTCCTCTATTAAATCATTCAAGTGTGGCGTGATGCCAATCAACACGTGCCTTCTTATGGGCAGCAACTAAATTATGAGGAACCCAATGACTACACATCTTTTTCTTCAAGAAATTTTTTCTTCCCCATTCAAAATTGTTTATATTTGACCCATGCCAATGATGCACGAATCTCATTATAAATAACACCTGCTTCAATTATGCCACACACAACATCAATGTTTTCCAGGACAACAGCTGTGGTTCAACGGTTTTCATGGAATTTGTCACTGAAACTGGCGAAGGTGAAGTCAAATCATTGAACGAAAATGTTCACGAGATTTTCCATCTGTCAATGTTGTTTTCTATAGGAAATTTCAAAATGTATGAAGTTGAGAAACTTCTCTTAGATGGCTATGTACAAAACTTTTAGTGCATGCCTTGTAATAATAGTTAAATAATGAAAAATTAATCAAAGTAGCAAAAAGTTGAATATACATGCTAGATGAAAATTGATTCTTTATTGGGGTTTTAGGGAGACTCATTGCACTGGCTAGGATGTGCAGTTTTTGTAGCTTCCCAATCAGTGGAAGTACCCAATCTGATGTCTTCTGTAGTCAAAGGTAGTGGTATAAACCTGACAAGTCTACTAAGATGTAGTAATTTGAGGTAATTATATTACAATTTTTGTAATATTTTGTATATTTCTTGTATATTTCTTCAATGATTTATAGCTGTTTTATTTTAGCTTTGTGCAGTTTTTCACAAACATCAATTTGTGGGCAGACATGGCACACTTGCCTGAAGAATTTCGCCAAAAAGTAAAACATCTACAGGATACATTTGGTGTTGCCCATAGTACATTTAAAAAATACTATCCTATATTTTGTCAGATATTTCAGCCACCAAACTCAACAGATTTAGAAAATTTTAAACAACATAGAAATCGAAAACTCAAGTAAGTTATTATATTTTTTATTGTATGCAAATGTATGTAAAATATGAAAATTGAACAAAATAATTTTAATAACATATTTGTGGTATTGGAAATTGCAAGTTTCTTTTCCAATTATCAACATTTATAGAATCAGTTTCATGAATTCTTTCAGATGGGATAAATTCTTATATGTACTTCCTTACCATATATTTTGGCTCCTTTATCATTGTGATGAATCCATTTTTACTAATTTTGCAAAACATTTCCTTTATCATATTTGTATTGCATTAAACTATAAATAGCTGTTTTTTTGCCTCTTTTTAAGAGTGTGCTTATGTATATCTGTTAACATTAGGACCCCAGAATTCCAGCTGTTTCAGGACTCACCTGTAAGGAAGTAATCCAACTTCTTAATGTTATAATGTTAGGAACAAAATTTACAGTAGGCCAAGGAAAAGGCTTTGAAAGAAGCTGCATCTATTTCTTTAAGATCAGATATTTATACCTACCTCAGATACTTTAATATCAGATAAATATGAATGAAAGTTTTATTAGTGTGGCAGGCTACTAGATTTCAGAAATGTGGGAAAACCACAATGTTATTTTGTGTTGTGCTAAATTTACAGGAAATCATACCAGACTTGCAGTAGCTGACAAAATTACTACATTGACAAACATATGGGCAATTGAAAAACAAAAAATGCATTTGTTGTTATGAGACAGCAAAGCTAATATGGTAAAAGTATATAAATATGCACAAATAAACTGTTAGGGGTGTTTTTTATACAACATGCAATTAATAATCAATGACATTATAAATTCTGAAAGAACTATATCAGATATGATGAGTACTACCTGCTGATTCCCAATTCATTTAAATCACTCGTCTTTAGCATGTGGAAAATTAAGGGAAATAGAAGAGTTGAATATGGTAAGAAAAAAATTATTCAAGATGTATAAACATGGTGGAACCAACTTTCTACATGTTAGAAAGATTACTTCAGTTGAAAAGTTGTGTAAACATTTATCTTACTGAAAATAGCAGAATAAATAATTTAAGAAGCAATAAATGGGACCTTTTACAATCTGTCCTTGAATTACTTATATCTTTTGAAGAGATAATGAAACTGATGAGCAGCACGGATTAGTGGTAATTCCGGTACATCCCTAGTTAAAATTCGTGATACCCATTTTACATATACCACATGGTATGGGATACCAGCATCTTCATTTATTTCTCTAATGATAGCACATCAATCTTTGTAGCACAAGATCATGGACCTAACATTTTTTGTTGTAGTAGTGATTGAGAGCGTTTTCCTGCATGTTCATCTGTATATGACTGTCTTACATATTTAAAGTCACTCACCCATTGATACTGCAAGTTCACCTAATGTATCCACCAAATTGTTAAGAATTTGTTCTGGAATCATCTGTTTTAAACATGAGCTTTATTTTGATTTTCTCTGAAATTATTTTCTTTTTTTTTGTATTTATTCCATGATTGTACCATTACTGGTATATTAAAGTTTTCAATTATTATTTCTGGCTCTTTTCTTTTTATAGTTTTATATAGAAGGAATTGATGAGACAAAAAGTTATTTACTCCTAAATTATTCTTATTTCTTTTTGTTTAGTTTAATCTCTAACATTTTGTTGTTTTTTTTTTATTTCAGACCTATCATGTGCAATAGTTCTACAGTATTTGAATTTGTATGGAGTCTCTTTGTTACATTAAAAAGCGAAGATCAACAGTTCGGCTCTGAATTAGTAAAATCATATCACTTAATGTTTGCCTGCATTGATTTAGCATTTAAGAATGCATTTTTGGCAGAAAGGCGAGATCTTTTGAAACCAACCTTTGAACTTTTACCTACCGATTGGAATGAACCTGGATTTGTAGTACCTCAAGAGGCTCCATGTCTGATGAATTATTTATGTAAGTTGCCATCCACATTAACAGAAGCTATGCACATGAAAGTATATGATTTGAAGAAGTTAATGGGAAATCTAATTACTAATGATATATTAAAAGTTGACCCTAAAGATTTCACTGGACTTTTTGACCAAGAAGTCTTCAAAGACAATTTTAAGAATATCAAGACTGCTTATGAGACACATTTATTAAACACTGCTGATATCGACGAAAGAATATTTTTAGGTAAGTAGAAGTAGTTTTTAAAACATTGTTTTTATGTTTTGTATATATTAAATCTGCACATAAATATACTGGTGGCCTGAAAAGTTCTTTGCCTGATACTGAAATAATTTATGCTTTCAAAGAAGTTTTATTAACCTCCTCCTCTTATATCAATACAGTTTATCCATCCATGCTTAAAGCTTTTTTATGCATTGTCATTATGGAAAGGATATTTCCTCTTCATTTTCCGTCAATTCGAATTCCGGCTTCAACATCTTCTACTGCTTCTTGAAAGATTTCCTCAGAATATATGTTAAACATCAAGGGTGATAGTATACATCCCTGTCGGACCCCACATTTAATTTTGATATCATCGGATGCTCCTGCCTCTGTATGAATAGACGATGTTTGATTCTAGTACAAAGGTTTCTAATAATTCTTAGATCACAGGTGTTTATGCCAATATTTGTTAATATTTCCATCATCTTATCGTGATTTACTGTATCAAATACTGTATGGTAATCATAGAAGCATGCTTACCATAATACCGAGAATGACTTACAATGATTAATATATGGCATCTACTAACACATGTACCAATGCAAGGGAAAAAATTATATAGATGGTGAAGTAATATTTAGCAGAGAATTTATCAGCCTGCCTTACTATAAGGAGATTTAGCAAATTTGATCATATTTAGCAAATGATAGTGTTCAAAATTCTCATATACAGAGGAGCAAAATACAATAAGAATCAAAATTTCAATATTCTTGAAACAACTTACACTGGAAAATCAATAATGTGTTGATGCACCTCAGTGGGCAATGCACTCTCGGATGGGCCTAGGCTCGGTTCTGATAAGGTGGTCAATATCCTCCTGGGGTATTTCGTTCCATGCCCTCCTCTCCTCCACTCCTCTCGATCTTCGCGATTGTCCTTGAGACCATGCCAGATAACATCTTAATACAGTATGTAAACTTCTGTAAACTCTATTCACAATTTTCTGAAGAGAAAGTCTGGCTTCTCTTAGGCCATCTATCGGTTCCAACTATCAAACTCGCTAAATTGATGAAAATTTGCGCATCTTTTTACTCTAGGCATTGTAAATGACTTTCTAAAAAACCAAAAACCTCGCACTGCTAATTTTTGATCAGTACTAAAACTTAAAATTTGTAGTGGTTAGCTTTAAAAAAAAACTGAAATTCCAATAATTTATTGTTTTTGCCAAGATAAGCCTCTATACCTACTTAGAATATATGACAAGTTTTTCTTATTTGTTCTATAAATGACTATTCTTGGTGAAAAATTCTTTGAAATGTATCATTGATGAATCAATGAATCATAATGTAGAAATTGGATTCTGGTGTAAATTAAAAAAAACTTACTTTCAGAGTGTACAAATGTGTGGTATCCAAAAAAATAAACTATTTTTTTATTAACAATAAAAAATCTTTCTTCTTTTCTGTAATATTTAACTACTGTCCTCTTTTCTGTAGTTTAGAATAGGTTGTGCTGATATATTAGTGATCAGTCATGACTTACCAAAACAGATTAATTGATTCAATTTTAAATTGTTGATATGTTGTTATTCTGTAGAATGGTTATTTCTACATGATATATAAAATTTTAAATTCTTTTAGCTGAATATCGAAGATTATTATTAGTGCAACAACAACAAGCAACATGGGGGCAAAGTGTTCGAGCATCTCCATTATCATACTCAGGTAAGCTTTTTATTCAGTCTAGCGTAATATTTAGACAACAAGGGTAAAATGTGTGAAGTGATCATTGCTTAGAGTATCACAAAGAATCAGTATGAATGTTTTATCAGAAAAGGCTGGAAGCTAGGGTTAAACTCAACCCCATAAAAGGTAAGGACTTAAACAACAAACAGAAATGTTAAACTCACGTTAAAACAATAAAAAATATATCAGAAGAAGAAAACCACGGCAAACCATTTGTATTGGTTTTCATGCCCAAATAACAAATAGCATTGATCATATATTCGAAGAGCAGTCACACATCATTACGACATTAGATTATTACATTACACATTTTTACACCATATGAATTAGGTTTATCAGGTAAATACATTCGAAAAGGGTAACATCCTTGAAATGTTACTAACTGTTCATCAATAGTCAGATAAGATGAACGTGTATATGATTATGTGCAGCTGGTAATAAAAATATTCCATCTTTTACATATATGCGCAAAAGGATCATCTTTCTATCGTTATTTTCGTTTTTCCTTTTCAGACAGTTTATGAGATATTTGAAACCCTGATCACTCATGCATACAATTTTCTTGATATATTACTATCAAACATATATTTCATGGATAGATGACGTTTAAGTCATCTCAGTTAAACTGAGAAACAGTGGGTTGATGTTACAGGTACTTCTGCTGTAGATTTTTCGCTCTCTACCACTATTGCTTTTATATCTGGATCCATTAAATTTACAGATGAACTGGTTACACCGGATGGATGGAAAATTTATGAACTACCAATATTTTTAGAGTAATGTTGTTCATCTGAATCGTCCTATTCAAACTCAAAAGTATCTTCTAACTCCCAATCACTTTCACTATCTTCAAAAGGTTCCTGCTCACTCCCTTCATCATTCATTATACACTGGATTTCATCGTTTATTTCCTTTGCTGCTAAACGTTTTCTTGATGACGTAGTGCTACAATTGAATAAAATAATATTTACTGCAAATAAAAGAAATAATTAGATAATGTCTTACCAAAAACGTCACCGGCGTCCAAATAAACTTCAGAAAACTAATAAAGAAACTGGACTGCCGTAAAATTTACGACGTGCCTCAAAAATATAAATGTAATAAAGAAATCCACCATCTGTTAAATTAAGACTAAAGAAGCAGCTACTGAGGAGTGTATAGGCATTAGTTACGCGATTGCACCCTAACTGCGATGAAAACAGGAGCGGCGTCAAATTTATGAGTGTCCACCTTATTTGGGTTAAGCAAATGCCCGCTCAAACATTACTAAGAGTAACTGCCAAGCAGAACCGTGGTACTTTTTTCAATGAATAAAACATTCTTCCAATATACTGATAATGCTCTCCATATAATTAATGGCTTGTCAATTTTATACTCCTTTATATGGCTTTATTTGAACAGGTTCTGATTATTTTATGGAACAGGATGGAGAACAAAAAATAACTCTGCATAGGCTCATAAAAAAAGATTTTCTAGTTTACATTAAGCAACGGTGACTCTCAGATATATATAGCAGCAAATTGTCTCAGAAAACGTTAATCCCTTTCATCATTACATCGATCGATTTTCAATGGATTTAAACCGTGACACATTTTCAAAACGTGACTAATTGATGTTTTTCTCCTTATTTTCGATGGCTACATGTCACGCATCTGCTAACCAATATCCAATTGTTTGTAATTTTCTTGTAGTATCAAATAGAGGACCAAAATAATATTTTTAATTTTTTTTCTTTTTCAGGAGAGAATTCTGTTATTACGTCCCCTCAAAATAATGAAAACAATGGAGGTGTAAGTATAAATTATTTTAAATAATTAATTGTAAATAGTCGTATCTACTAATAAACGTTCAAGTTTGAGAACCGTAGGTGAGAACAGGAAGTATACATTGGTTGAAGACTCTTGTTTTTAAATATTGGAGGTATTTGTTTAGTATATAGGAAAGTTTTCCGAAGGATACCCAAGCCAACCGTATCCTTCTCTTTATTTCTCCGGTCTGATTTTCTTTATTTAATTTAACTAGTTGTCCCAAATATGCATACTCTTTTACTTTTTCTATAGTTGTTTCTGCAATTGTATTTATTAATTCTTCTGTTTGGTTGGTCCTAATTTTCGTTTTATTATAATTCATTTGTAGACCTATTTTTGTTGATTTGCTATTTAATTCATCCATCATATTTTGTAATTCTTCCCTTTTATCTGTTATTAATACAATGTCGTCTGCATATCTCAAGTGATTCAAGCATGTGCCATTTATGTTATTACCCCGTTTTTTCCATTGTAATAGACGTAGCCCGATATTGGGCAGAAAAAATGTAGTCGGATCCAGACTCGAAAAAGTAAAGTAAGTCCATTGTAATTTCCTCATAACGTCTTCCAAAGCTTGATTGAATAGTTTGGGTGATATAGTGTCAGCCTGTCTGACTCCTCGCCGTATCTTAATAGGTTTCGTTTGTTCAACTATTTTAATGGATGTTGTTGCTTGATCATATATATTGGAAATTAAGTCCGTATATCTATAGTCTATTCTCCCATTTTGTAAAAATTTCTTTACTGCCCAATGTTCCACCTTATTGAAATGCCATATACATTGGGATTTGATATTCGTTGGCTTTTTCAATTATTTTTATCGTAAGCAGATGGTCGCTTGTACTGAATCCTTTTCTAAAACCGGCTTGCTCTCTTGCCTCGTAATTATCTATCTTTCTTAAATAGTAATAGTGTTATTGCCTCGTTCCATGTGGTGGATATTTGTTTTGTGTTCAATATTTTATTCATTAGTACATAAAGGGGTTCCACTGTAGTTTCCCCATTTTTTTGCATTTCTACAGGTATTCCATCTTTTATAAATAGATATAAACTCAAAATATTGAAGTTTTTGTTGAACTAAGTTGTTTAATAAATTAAACATTTGCTTATATGAATCCTAAACATGAATCATTTTTATAAATATAGGTAACACCACGTGCTCCCGATACCCCGTTAACCGGTAGAGGATACTTGCCAAGAGAGTCAGACAGCTCACCTTTATCTGCTGATAGAACTATTACCCAGAAAATTGCACGTTTACATAAAATTGTAAATAACCGACCTCAAGGTCCTAGTGAGGCTTTATTAAAATTATTGGAGTAAGTAATTTATTGTGTGTAGATATTATCATTGTTTGTCAAGAAAAAAAGAAAGATAAATTAACAAATTTTGTGAATTTAATCTGCCATGAAACTTTTTTTACGATTTTATGTACTCATAAACTTTTAAACATATACTAATTTCATATTTAATATATTTTAGATCGTGCGAAGTAAACACCATTGAGAAAATTCAAGAAATTTTAAATAGTTTAAGTGAAAAATTTGTAGTCGCATATAGTAGCAAATACAATGGCCGCGAAGAAGAGGCAAAAAATATGTTACAAATTGGTGTCACTTTATTCTATAAATATGTTGAAAATCTATTAGATAATGAAAGCAAAATTAGAAATGATATATCGGTAAGTGCATGGAACGAAACTGTAGACACTCGCAAATAAGAACATCGTAACTCTATAATCACAACTTTTCAGTAAACGAGTTCAAAGTTTTTTAATTTTTTCATTGATAGAAACTAAATTTTTATTGATTTAAACGTAAATTTTGGCTAGAACTAAAAGAAGATTCGTCGCTATATCGCACGTTCCTAAGAAAAGTGTAATAAATCAAATAACAAATTTTTTCAGGAGAACAAAAACAATTTTTGTCATTTTTTAAAATGCGAATAGATGAACCCGGAAGTGAATTATATATTTTCAAATAGCATTAAAAAAGAGTAAATAAATTATTATTTCATAATACCTATCTTTTTATGAAACAAAACGGTTTTTGAGATAACGAGTAATTTTTTTAAAAAAATAATGATTTTTATTAGAAAATAGTTTTTGAACAGAACATAAACACTGTATAAACTGAAATTATCTCCTTCTAAATTTTTCATGGATATTTTAACATAATGAATCATAGAATACTTGGTAATACTTAGGAATATACCCTTTTTTCACCAAAAACTGTAGGTCGTCTTTTTTTTTCTCAGTCAATTGTCGTTTCGAATTGTAACCTTTTTTTAATGTCGGCAACTGTGTTCGATTAGGTGAATTTTGAATGCGCTTAGCATTAGCAAGCGGTCTTTTGAGAATATCGACTGCCTTGAAATGTGTCTGAGAGAAAGAAGTTTTATAAAAATACTTAAATGGTTCATCCTTTTTCACTCTAACAACTCTAAGATCATTAATAGGTACTCCTTCTGCATCGATATTGAAATTTGGTCCTAGGTCATTTATCAACTGTTTGATGTTCATGAAATCTTCATACGTTAACTCTTTGACTCGGTATGGCTCCCCTTTTTTTCTTTGCATTTCTTATTATTTGAATAAACTGGTCTGGTACATAAATTTGTCCTGATTTTAGAGAACGTGTAACCTAAAAATGACATTTTTCAGTTGATAACTGATCCGTCTATGGATATTATCCATCCATTTTATACCTGTTTTTCAATAACGGAATGTGTGGAGTCTCCCTCATTTTGGGTGTATCCAACTATAAGGAACTTATGTGTAATTTCTCTAATCTGAAATTTCTGCACTGCATAAAATCTGAAATAAAGAAGAAGAAACATTGAGAGAATTCCGTTGAATTAAATGTCTGATTCTTACCTAATTTTTTGTTGTGCTGCACAATTGTCGCTATACAAGACTATTTCCAAATTTGGAGAATTGATGGTTTTGGACTTATGCTCTAGATACATTAAAATACATGAAGCCACTTCAGTCACTCCTTTTCCGCCTTGGCCTTGATGCCATACAAAGCACCATGTATTATCGGCTACCAATTAAGTGATAGTTAAGTTCATTGTATTTAGTTTTGATCTATAATAGAAGATTGATGTGTCACCTTTTGGCAGCTGTAACACCGCTTGCATATCAAAACATGTGACTAAAAAGTTCTCACTACACTTTTTTGTCGCTTTCCTTTTCAGCTCTAG